AAATGCAGTGAAGGGAGGGCAAGAATGCTGATAGTCAAGAATAAAAGGCCATGAAAGATATCTATATTAATGTACTGGTTGTCTAACCATAGCTCCAGCTGGGACAGTCAAAGCTGCAGCTTCAGATGGCAAAGCTGCTGCCATGGCCTTTCCAGCATCTCCCTTATAGGCAAGTGCAGGTGGCTGGGCGCCAGCCAGCATGTTCACTGGCCATTTTACTTCTAGGTTTGCTTAAGCATTCAGTGTGTTCATGAAGCCTGTTCCCTCATTTGCAAGCATCTGAAGTGGAATGGGCGTAAATTCAGAAGACTATGGCAGCTGTTGCTGGAATAAGTAGCGACTGCTGCCTGGAAGTTACGGCACAGTAACTAAGCTCCATAAGGACTCCATGCAAGAACTAAAGCGGGAAAGCTAGAGATGTGTTCAAACTCATTCTTGGGAGTTGAGAAACCTGAAGTAAAGCTTACGAGCCTAGGGATGATGGGTGAACTAGCTTCTGTCTCTAGTCAGGGAAAAATTAGGCTTTTTCAGTTTATTGGCAGAAAGAGCAAACTAAACTTGTTCAGAGACAGACGGTTTCCTGGCACTTTTGGTTGAAAGGGTGGACTGAGACACTTCTTGCAAATATTAATGAGAAACATTAAGTTCAAATCTCTCAAATTAAAGCAAAGCAGGTAATAAACTTCTTCAGGATTCTCTCTTTTCCTCAGAAATACAAGACATGGTTAGATCTGCTTTGAGAAGCTGCAAATAGGCTTCCTCAGACTCCATCAGTGACACGACAGTATGAATGCTACTGATGAATCTGAAAGCCTAGAACTATTGCGAGAACTAACTCCATCCAGGGTGACAATGGGTCTGGGTGAAAGCTCTGGAGTACTTCCATTTTGCCAGGGAGTCTTTGGAAAAACCCCACAAATTGTCTATAAACTATTCATTGCACTTTGTTTCTCCTCTGTAATACTATTATTAAATTTTATTAATAATAGCATTAACAATTAGTAATTCATGTAATTATAGCAATTGGGTAATGAGTCACATTCTTATAAGTCTCATTGTCTTTTGAGAAAAGCAGGCTTTAAGAGCTAGCCTAGCATGAGAGCTGCTGAGTAAATCTCAGTGAAGTACAGGTATGTGAAGTTTAAACTTCCTGGTCTGAAGTTGAATTCAGGTGATAATAACCTGATAACAACCTGGTGCCTTGAGAAAGTCACAGAGAGAACTCATTTCCTAATAAACCCCTAGCTAGAAAATGGCTATTTTAGGATTTCTGGTTTTGCTGATGTACTCTTCAGGAAAATTACTGCTTTGAAATATGTGAAATACTTTTTTACAAGTGAAACAACACATATAAAACCAGGTCTTGGACTCGTATAACTGCAAAACCACAGCAAAATACCTTCCAGTCCAGATCATCAGAGGAAGCCTGTGGAGTACTCAAACCAATTGCTTTGATGACTGGAAGCAACAATTGCTAGAATCGGCCTTTTGCTTTGTTTGCTTTCTGCTTTTCAGTTACAGAAGCTTGGTTGTAAGGGATGTTTGCTCATTCTAAGAATCACAAAGAAGATAATTTGAGGGGTTTCGCTGAAGTTTGGAGCAAATGCCTTGGTCAAGGGCTCTTTCAAATAGTGACAGCTATTTTTAGATGGTCTGGACAATTTTTGGATGAAAGGGTCTTAGAAATATTTTGCTGTATAAGAACTCACAGAGAAAGTTGGCTCTTAAAACACACTGCTTACTTTGTGAAACAGATATAAGCATTATGAGGAAGTGATGAAAGCTGGAATAGTAGCCTTATCAACAGGTGGCCCCGGGCAGGATATTCTTTGCTATTTACCCTATAAATAAAGACTGGATTTGAGAAAAGCCCTGCCTTGGGAAAAGACACAAGGCTAACAAGGTTACGTAATCAATCATCTCCCAGTATCCATCTATCTGTCTTCCACGTAAGTACTCAAACCAAAATAATTTGAACAGGCATTTAGAAACTTTAATGGCACTTGAACACCAGCCAATTCCAACAGCTTTTCTGATAACACCACCACCAGATACATGAGTGAACTCCACAGAAGGAAACCAACCCCAAATAAAATATTAATTACCATGATAAAAGTGACTGTGAAATCTTCTGTGTACACCCTCCCCCCTCAAACTCAAACATTCTTGAGTGTGCATTGGCAGGCAGCCTTCAGATGCCTGTTCACACACACACAGAGCTATTTCTCTCCCCTCAGGACTCCTGCCTCACAAAGGCAATGCAGGGACAAAACACAATAGCAAAACCATTCATTATTGTTCTTCCTGGTTGTTCAAACGGTCCCCATACTTTCTTCCCTGTTCCAGGAAAGGAACCACCATGTCCTTAACAGGCCACTAATTTCTATAGAAATCTGCCCAGAACTGGTACAAGCACAGCCTAGCTTTCAATATTGTCTTGCTGAATGGCACCCACAGCAATGAATAAGGTAACAAAAATATCAAAGGGAAAGAAGTTAAAAATTAGCCTAAAAATAAGCTAGCCAGCATTAAAGTGGGAATAGGGTCATGGCTTGCTCAGACATGAATCCCTGATTTGGATTCACCACCTTGCTAGGGAATTTTGCACAGCTTGTTGGCCCGGAAGTGGTGTTTTTTTGGGTGCATTGTTTCAGGTTTTCACCACCACAATGCAGCCTGTGGATTAGACTCTTACTCTTTAACTCAGTACCTAGAGCACTAAAGAAGTTTCTTCCTTGTAATTTCTTCTTTACTTGAAGGAAGTCAAACTGGTCTTTCTTACCTCCTAGGCAAAAGTTTTCTAAACTCAGATTCTCAGTTCCTCCCAAGTAAGTTGCGCTGTTTTGCATGAGTTAGTTTCACATATATAGAAAAGGGAACCAAGACAGGTTCTGTAGCTATAGGGGAGGAACAAACACCTGAAAATAGGGATGACTTTCCAGTCACCTCCAGCTAATGCTTAAACCTGTTAAATATTCAGTGGAAACAAGATGTAACCACAGATGAAATAATTCTGTGCTCGTATACTCTTGTTTCTCCACTGCAATGCTGCCAATATGTCCAGTTATACCAAAACATTCTAATATTATTCTGCCTCCTCCCTTCTTCTTCTCCCACTTCCCAGATACCCTGGTACATAATTAAATAGCACAGTACAGTAAATATTCTACTCAACAAGTCACTTTAAACTTCTGAGACACCACACCACCAGATCACAAAATAGCACAAAACACTGATTCTTGTAGGCCATCTAGTGATAAAAGCAGTACAGTACAATAAGAAAACCATTTCAAGCTTTTCCTTCTTAAAGATCATTTCATATAACCTGCAAGATACACAGCGTTTCTTTGCTGATGGGTGTTTTTCCCACACAGCAGCAAGCAAGATGACTGCGCCCACAGCCATACTCTGAATGAGAGCGTGGCCACAGGCTCCTTTACTTCTCTCTCCAGCGTTAATCCTAAAAACCATGCTGACATGACTATACCAAGTGGACACAGGTTACATAAGCGTCCTGACTTCTGACTGTCACAGATAGAAATAAAAGACTATAAAATGACCATTAATACTTTATCCATGGTATCTAAAATGAGAACAAAAATACACATCCGCTTGAATAAAAGTTTAATTCATGTATCATAGAAAAATCTAATAAGGCTTTACATGATAAAAGATATTAAGAAAAAACACACACAAATTCATAATAAATACAATGCTTTCTCATCACATTGCACACAATATTGTTATAGTTACAGACTTAGGAACTAATTACTACCACTGCAGTTAGTAGACACTTCACTTACAAGTTTGATCCCTGTTTATAACGCTAAATCCTGCCCTCCTTACTTGGGCAAATTCTTAAGAGATATTCCAAAGAACTCAGCCTGAACAAGAAGTAGAAGACTGGACTGGGTTTGTAAGTAGCTTAGCTGCCACATTTGTATGCAACTGTATAGTGTAATCCTCTTTTTACACTTGGTTCTACTCAGGAGTCAGCTAATAAAATTAATAAAGTCACCTATATTAAAACAAGTTCCATTTACTGAACTTGACTGATCTGACAAATGCAGAAATAACCTGCAATATCACATGTTTAAGCTAGTAATTACCTGGCAAGCGTCCTTCTGGTAAGTCACAGTTAGCGTCTCCTTAGTTTTTTAACAAATGCATTTCACATTCTCTTACACAGTTGTTTCATGATAAAGAACAAGAGGAAAGTCTTTCACTTGAAAAACCTGAGAAACGTACCAGCTTTATTCAGATATGGTACTTGAGAGTATAACATACTACAAAACAGAGCTGTGGTATAAACCTGAATTTCATAAAACTTCAAATCCCTGCAGATCTTAACAGGGTTTGGAAGTTGTGCAACAGAGGAAAAGTTAGATTTGATTGTCTCGTCTTAGTTCCTTTTTGGACACCACACAAAATCACTGAGCAAAATTTTCACTAAGTGTGCAACAAAGCAAAGATATAAAAAGAAAAAACGTATCACAGGGTATCAAATGCAACTGCTATTGTCACATTATGTCAACAAGTTTCTCATATACATTCATCTGCTGTTTGAATTCTAGCTGCATTAAACTACCCAACAAGGCAGAAAGAAACCACTCTCTTTAAGTTAATGGCAAACTACTTCTTGACTCAAAGACAGATTTCTATCTATTAGCTACAGGAAAAGTCAGATTACATAAAGAAAAAAAAATAGGTTTACATTCTTTCAAATAATAATTAAAAAAAAAAAAAGACATCTACATCTTTCATCTGTCTGCTGGCTCCAGTTATGTAAAACTGAATTTGAAACGAACAGAAAGTGGAATCAGCACTTAACAGCACTTAACAGCACTTAACAGCCCTCCAAATGTACCCATATTACCTGAGACTTGCAATGCCTAGTTTACACTGCATCCTATTTATATAGGCCTCACAAGGTATAAGCACTCAAAACAAAGCTGAATGTACAAGAGAAACAGTTTCACAAATGGGATATAATGTGCATGTTAGGGGCTGGGGGGGGGTGGGAAAAGTCTCTTTGCTGTCATGCCTCCTTACTACTTTGGTCAATTTTTCAAATGACAAAATAGCCCCTGTCAAGAACTTGTTTACATACACATATTTATGGCAAACCCAAGAGTCTCATTTGTTAAATCATGTGAAAAGGATAGGATTTTCCTAAGCAATGCATCTAAGCCTTTCATGCTATCATAGCCCACAACATTTACAAAGATAACTCTCATATTTTAAAATACATGAATACAGTGTTTTTCCTTGTACTAAATATGACTACTTCCAAGTTAATAAGCATAATCAAGACCTTTTCCCTTGAAGGAAAAGCTATTTTTCTGCAGCTTCCCTTAAAGTGTGCTCCAAGACAATTATTATGTTATTAAATATAGACTTTATATTAATGGTCCACAAGTGCAGAAGAAACACAGAATAAATCATTATAAAGAAAGAACTGTGCTGGCTTTCTGTCATGTGCAGTGCACTACATCAGCTTAATTACTCAATGCTGGCAAATAATTCCATTTATAAATAGCAACACTGCACCTTTGACACAATATTCAATCAAAAAAATAGATTTGCTGAAATGAAGAAAATGTTCCTGTATAAACTGGAGTATAATTATAAATCAATTCTTTTGTTTCCTCAGCTTCACTGGGAAAATGGTGCAAGCTCTTCCGGGCTGTAAAACATTGTAAAAATACAGATCACTTTACTGTTATCCTACTTGACAGTATCTTTCCTGGCAAAGCAAGTTGTTCTGTGTAGTATAACAGCAAATGAAATTACAGTAACTTGCATGTGAAGAACTGTGAAGATGCATCTTCATAAAGCTGGTTATAGCATATTTTATTACTGGGGAGGGAGAAATTTAATTATTAATTTAAAAGCCAAGCCTGTACAAACATATTTATCCATGAGATAATTAAACAAAATAAAACCTGAATCCTTGCCTGATTTATCCCATCGGCAATTCTACGCAGGTTAAAATTAAGAACAGATGGATATGAAAACGGTATTTCAACAGAATGGTTTAGTTATTAAGTGATCATAGATGAGTATATTTTTGTCAGCTGAAAACAGTTTTTCACCCCATAATTTATTTTCAAAGTTAAGGAAGACACTCTGCCTTACGTCAGCTAAAACCATCAATCACTCATTGCAACGTTAAGATACGAAGCACTCAGTAGGAGCAGTTGTACACCTACTGGAGAGGTGATGAAGGATAATAGCTCATGATATGGTATATGAGATGGCAGCAGACACAGAGCTGGCTGGCACAAGTTTACTAGAATTGAAGGTCAACAGCTCCAAAAGCTAGTGACACATCTGTGTGGTACCATGCGTGAGCTCATTACATGTGTGTACATATATAAAAGAACCCACAGGCACCATGGCTCAGCGGGATTTACAAGCAGAGCTGGCACTTTTTTTTTTTGCCACATTTACTTGGATAATGGCCTGAGCAAGCTTACTTGTGCCTGTAATACAGAGTGCAGATACTAGTGAACATAGCAAACAAAACCTGAAAACATGCTGCGTTCTAGTAGTAGACTACAAAAGAAAAGGCAGACTCACACTACACTTTCTCCTGGTTTTCCCTTTATTTTTGTCTTAATCTCCCGTAAGTACCTTATCAAAATTCTTAAAATACAGGAAGCTTCTGGATACTTCTTGGATACTGCCAAGGCATTTTGTGTGATTTTGCTACCTTTTCACAAAGGGAAGTAGGACAACATTATGCAGAAAAAGGGCCCTGAACTTGTAAAAAGCAAAACTTTTATTTCCACACCATTCTCACTGACTAGGTCAGCAGAAGTTGCATTTTTTTAAATCACTGTTTGCTTTTTAGGTGACTCTTCTGACTAGAGAACAAATTTAGAGACCAAATTCAATTAGGTTATTGATTATGTTCTTCATAGTGCCAGTCAATCAGGTAAGACAATTTCATAAATAGTCAATTTAAAACACAAAAATTATATTTTAGCAGAATGGTTCAGTAAGTATAAACAAAGGAATAAAGAAAGCTTTATCACTTTGAATATTCCTGTATTTATATCCTGCTTATTTAAATAGAACAGAAGTTTCATAAATTATCAATATTTTATACATTAGTTACTCCCAGCTTCTTAGGGTATAAACAAATTAAAAGCTCTATAAAATTAAAAAAACTTCTTGGGCTGTCTATAGTACATACCTGTTGGGCACCACACTGCTCCCCTTTGATACATCTGTATACTGCCCAAGCAGTATTTATAATATTGGTGCTTATATTTTGCAAGCAAAACTAAGAATACAATGAATGACTATAACTCGGTTTGGAACTCAAGAAACTGCTGTAAGTATGAACAGAGTATTTTTTTAATTTCATTGTCTTTGTTCAAGGAAGGCTAAAATGTACAAGTTATCATTTGAAATGGTAGAAAGTCAAGCACAAACAATGCTTTTCAGCTAGTCCACTGAAGAATTTGTGGAATACCTGGCCTTTTAATGTCACTTTTACTAAGCCATTCTATTTCTAGTATTCCATGTTTTTTTATAAGCCTATAAAGCTTGCAGAGTAATCTTCTCAGAAAGCAGTGAGAGGTACTGAACTCTGAGAGTTGAAAAAGAGGCCTGTCATCTTCAAAGATTTTTAATAATGCTTCACCCTAAAAAATGACATTTATAGATGATAAACTTTTTACCTTCATTAATGAAGAAGTCAGCTATATAATATGATGCTCTTACAGCTGACGGGGAATGGGGAATGCCTGGTGAACTCTTCCACTCAAAAGGATTTTTCTCTGGATGCCACTGGACGCCATAAATTGGATATTTGTATGCTGTAAGAAACACAAAGGACGTAAGCAAGGTCTATACCTAAAGAATTACACGCTTAGTCTTACTGCAAAAGAACCCAAAGAATAAGCTACGAATAACTCACATCAACAGTTTAACAAAAGCTTAAGCAGCAAGGTGAAGCTCTGTTTAAGTCACAGTACAACTGAAAGAAAAAAAATGGATATTCTAATAGAAAGGTCTCATTCCTTGCAAGATTTTTGTACACCACTTTTTTTGATTATTCATTTCAGAATTAAACATATACATACACTGCTTTAGAAAAAATAGTGTTACAAGTGTATCAGCCTCAAAACTTCCCATCTACTGCCAGCATCACCCAACATACAACATTCACTGCCACACAGGATATTGCTGGCAGTTCCATGGGACAGATCCAAGTCTTAGGATCTCTTCAAAGGCCCAGTCAATCCAGGGGCAGCTCCCATCTGCTCTGTGCCAGGGCTGACACACTGCGGAAGCCAGTCCTCAACTCTTACAGAGAAGAGCAGCACAGCAGCTAATGACTGCTCTGTGATAAACTGCTTGCAGCCACACGAGATGCCTGTCATTAGCCTAATCAGGTTTTCTGATCAAATTGCTATTCTTTACTTCTGGGAAACAGCCAGTAAGCCATACAGAAGAATCCCACGGGTGGACAGCTGAGCCTTACTGTAGAGCTGCTAGTAGTGCACTGATCAAGATAAACCACTCCCTAAAGAGCTAACTTGTCTCTTGATCTCAGCAAACCTTGTGCAAAATGTAGGCAACACAAGGTAAGTAACAAAAAAGGCTTTTAGTGGAGGCAATTATCAGCATTGCTGCTAAAGCAGTGAGGAAGGTTGCTATTACCTCAGTACTCTGAACTGTTCTTGCAGTACAACAAACAGATACAGAGCATCACAAGAATGCAAGCATAAGCAGACAGACAGAAAGCAAGGTTCAACAGAGGCATGTTGCACTGCAGAGGGATTAAACTACTTCAGGATGAGTGCTGTACACTTCACATCACAGGACTCATATTCTAGTGCTAAAGTGTACCAGCGCATCTGAAAGGGGAACAGCAGGTGAGAGAAGTAATTAATTAAGTCTCACAGATATGAACTCAAAAGATAAAATATCCCTGCACACAGAGTATGCTGCTCATAGCTAGAGCACTGACAGGCCTGACACTCACCCTGCTGTTCTAACAGCAAGCTTGTAGTACAAGCTAACATCAATGCCACAACACCTCTGAAGAGCTAGTTTGTCACAGTCAGTTTACAAAGAAAATTCATTTCCCTACCTTCCATGGTAGATATAAACTCCACTTGATCATTCATGTTAGTGGTCAAAACATTATAGAAATTATGAAGCTCTTCATTCTTTGTAAAATTCTGTGATAAGGAATCAGGAGAAAGATGTGTTATTTGCTCATTTATTTCTAGTTTTAACAAAGCAAAAGCATTTTTGTTCAGGAAATAAAATGACCAAATACCTCCAGGGAAAGGCTCCACATATGAAAGTTTGATGTCAATGGCTCAGTAGCAAGTGCATGTAATACATCATCGGGGAAATTCTTGAATAATCTACTGTTTTTTGCAGCTGTTAGAAATAAAAATGAAAAAAAGGGTATTATCCATTACCCAAGGTGCCAGCAGTCTGTTGCATGGATTAATACTGAGCAGGAGACAAATTTAATGAAATACTGCATTAAAGTAAACTTTTATTTGTAGTATAACTTTATGATTTTAGAATATGCTGCAAGGAAAATCAGTTAAATAACTACAACAGATTTCCAATATGCTGTTACCACTGTCCTCCAGTTCTGCCCCAGAGAGGACCCAACACTAATGCTACCTAAAGTTCCCATTAAAACAAGTATTGTTCTTTGCCACTCATTTTCGTGACCTTTCCGTTCACAATGAGCACAAATGACAGAATTTGTGAATGCTACATGGTCCACAGATGTATTACTCACAAATTAAAGGATAAAGTAGCAACAGAGATCCCATATTTTACCAGTGTTGCTGAGTGGCACAGCTCTGTCTTACAGGTTCTCACCGATTTCAATACTGTAGAAGTGGAACAACAATGCTAATATTCATCATTAGGAAAGATGCAATTTGAAAAATTTATAATCACCCGCTCTCAGAGTTTGATAGGTTTTGGACCAATGAATTTTATTCAACTCTGTAACAAAAAAGGAACTTAAACCCACATTATTTTTGTAGGTCCAAATTATCAAATGACTCAAAGAGCTACAAGTGTGGTTTTCGCTGACTGCTGTTGGTTTCAAATGGCTTGTGCTCACATCTCTGCTTTACAAGTGATAGATTTGCACTGACATTATGAAAACAGTTATGGCAATTTATTAAGAAACAATTTAACAAGATTATAATTAGAAAATTCCCAAACATTCACCACTGCATATTTATCACAAACAAAACACAAGACCTCTTAGCAAAACTCAGACAGGAGATGTAACAGATTTTTCACCTGAGGTAAAGTTCAGAGGGAGTGCAAAACCATTTGTCTTGGTATTAACAAGCAAAACTTTGCCACTTGTGAGATACGTAAGCTCTTCGTGTCCAAGACATGTTCCCCATACTGGGAAATAATCTCCTTTATCATTAGCCTTCAAAATAAAAAAACAACAACGTAAGGAAAAAGCACTGAAGATTTATAGAAAGAAGACTGAAGAGAACTTCCTACTCTTTTTGCTTTTTCTTGTGTAGGTGACAGATAAAACTACTGCAGTAGTACAACTGCTACTAAATTAGTTGTTAACAGTTCAATTAGAACTGAAACGAAGACTCTCTTAGCTTTTCTCCTGAAATATGAAGACTACGGGATTATACATGTCTGTTGAAGCAGTAAACTGAGCCCAATGATAGTAGTTTGACTGTTCTTTCTACCAGTAAGTAATACTGAGAGCAGCAAAGAAGTCAATCAGAAGAGACACAAACCAGCCTGTCACCATCTTGAGGGAAAGCTTACTCAATTCATACTTTTATATGAAACATGTTATGATCACATTCAAGAGCCATTTGCAATGTCTGAATGCCTGTGCCCACCCATTTGAATTAAGAAAACATAAATCCTATTACTAGCATGGCTACAGTTTAAGTAACATGCTTGTATGCTTGTTTAACTAGCAGGTTTGGAGCTGTGCTCCAAAAAGATAAATTGTGAGTTTAAATGGCATAAAAAAGTGATAATCACTTTCAAAAGAATAAGAATTGACAGGCAAGTGCAAAAAACAAGAGAACAAAGTAAAAAAGGAGAAAAGGAAAGCAAAAAGAGAACACAACTAGCTTCCTGTCACTTCACTAAGGACAGTGCATACACACAATGAAAATCTCCATTATTGTATGGTTTATTCCTGGTAGTAATCACATGTTAGAGGCTGAGACATTTCAGAACTCCTGGCTTTGTGAAATATCAGTAGTTTTTCTTAATTTGTTTCTAAACATTTTTAGGTTATGCATAACGCATCACACCACACATCCCTATGAGCTACAGCTCAAAAGCCTTTTTTGAGAGAGCTGAAACTATAGGCCTAGAATAAAAATGTTACCCTACTGCATTACTGGTAGCATGGTAATAAAAGCCCATATAACTACTTCTCAGAGCAAAACATGGAAGGTTTACAGAAAGAAGGCCAATAGTACTGCAGTCTTCATGACTACCCATCATGCATAACTAGACACAGGACTTGCAATACTGCCTGTCTTTCATGTAAGTGAGGAACAAAGCCACTAAAGACAAAAAATACACTACAGTTTAGTAACTACTACAACTGAACCATAACACTTCGTGCTCCCCTGCCCCCCTCCTTTTTTTTTTTTTTCAATAAACATTACCCTGTAGGCTAAGCATGTATTAAACAACACCCAAGACATCACATTTTAAGAACTAATTTAAAAGCTGGAAAGCAGTATTTCATTTGGGGTTTTGCCTAGCTAGTAAAATTCTATTGACTTGAATGGGGATTAGCATTTCACATGCTCTGTTCATGTTAAAGCAAAGCCAGACCACATCATTTCTCATTGTGAACATTTGCAAACAAATAAAAAACAAACCCTCATACATTTTTAAAAACCATAAAATTCAATCAATTCCATACCTGACAATATACTCTTGCCTAGTGTAGCTTACCTTATATCAATAAAGCTGCCAGTATTTTATAACCCCGATTAAGTCTCAAAAGATGAAAATCAAAACACACAATTAGCACAAAAAAACAGAGGAAAAAAAAACCAACCCTGACTTATTAGTAAGGGTTACCTATGATGAACTGAAAATTACTTTCTGCCTTTCACTCACCTGAAGTACACCTACCATCTAACAAACCTGCCACTCTGATCATAAAATTACGACATATACAATTGAGTTAATCATTGTGCAATGTCAATAAAATTTCATAATAGGACTGCAAACCACAAGAACCCCTTGCCCCAGTACTGCATACCAAGACACAGGCCGCACTTCACACAATGAGCAGTTTCAAAAAGACAAATGAGACTGTCCCACATAGAAGCGAGACAGCCTTTGCAAGATTCAGGTTTAAGGCAACAGACAAACAATCACCACGAATGAAAACAGATAAAAGAATAATATTCGGGTCACAGGAAGTGAACAGCAGGAAACTTAATCACTGAACTGCAGCAGCTGACTGGTCCTGCAAATACCACTGCCTGTGCTTTCCTTGTCTGCTGTTGGGAAGTCAGCAGCAAGGGTAGAAGAGGAATTCTTTCCTGCTGATGAATGCTTCTACCACAGTAACTGCTTAAACACTGCTCATAATTGCCTTTAGAATTGGGCAAATTTTTCCAAAATATGACTTCTGTGACTATTTTAATCAATGTTAACTGAAAATAAAATAAAGCCAGTACAGAGGAAAAAAAGGAAGAAAAATTACATTTTTATGCTATTTCAATACAGAAGATCCTTAACAAATCATAGGGATTGTATATAAAGCTCAGCAAATCTCCATGCCTTTCCACAATGCAAATTTTACTTCAAAATGTCTTTATTAGTAACTGAAAAAAACTTCACCTTTTATGCTCTAAGAGAATTAAATGTCCCGTAGGATTCAAAGCCTTCCTCATGTTCTTTGAAATAAAAAGCTTTCCTAGATATTCAATCTTTTTCTTAATGAAGCTAATGATCATATGAATATTTACAATTAAGATAACCTCTCAAGTGCTCTTCCTACCTTACTTCATGCTGTAAATGAAGCTAGTGTTTGCTTTAAAAATGTGCTAAATTTACAGTTACCAATGCAAAGAAATAGCTAAAAGGGTAGACCCCATATCTGCACATCTGAAGATATATTTAAACCTACTTATAGGTAAGTAAGAATAAAGGTGTTTCACTAGCTGCAACATACTGGCGAAGGAAGGTCTTAATGTTCTATTATTGTAAATTGGTTTGAGAGTCTGTCTAGAATTCCGAGTTCAAACTTTAGTCATGAAACTTATACAAATTATAACATTTATGTATATCTTTGTTCAACATTTAATGTCAAAGGATACTTTGCACTTTCTGAAGGCATTACTGCTACTCTATTGCAAGTTCCACATAGCCATAAGCCTCAGGTACAATGAATAAACAATACTGTTTTCACCTGAAGAAATTGAGAGTTTAAGACCATGACGCAAGATATAACAGGAGAGGGCTCCAGAAGTCTGAATCTTAAGCTATTAAATGATTTTTTTTTTTATGTAGAAGCCAGCTACGAGCTACTTATTATCGGGCCTACAGTTAACACACTGATGCCAATGCAGAGTTATGAAAATATGAGCCTCCCTGTCACTTTGATCTCTGAACAGTGACAATAACAAGAACAGACTGTTCCTTAGTAATTACCTCTAACGCCTTGTGGTAAAATATCTTAGCAACCCTGGAATATTCTGAAGTCTTAAGATCCACACCGCCTCCTGGAAAAAGTACCCTGAAAGGCAACATTCAAGAGTCTGATTAGCAATGGCGATTAAACTAAAAGCTGGACAATGTACACAGAGAAAGGTCTGATAGTGGTTTTAAGGGTAGGATTCAGGTCTAGATTTAGATACCTACACTTCAGAAATCTTCAGATAGTCATCTAAGCTTCCAGGGATCTAGTCAGAAAAGTCAAACATCTTTTCTACAGCAGAAACCTAAGTCAGTAGGCTGGTCAGCCAATTAGGCTCCACTGGCTCTACAGACTAGCATGACATTAATTACAGGAGTTTAGACAGCTGTCACACACATAGACAGCAAAGTTTAGGTGTCTTAGTCTTTAACTTATTCATATCCTAAATCTTAGTGTTCTTCTACTGAAGAATAGTAACTATTACAAAGCAGTGACCAAGCCTAGTGCAATGTAAGGAAGAGGAGAGTAAATAGAAAATACGCAAAGCATACAGATTTCAGCTGGCATGTAAAAGGGTTGCACCCCATGACTCCATCAAATCCTGTCCTGACTCTTAGCTGGCTCTGCCTACCACTTTAAAATCCTGACCCTGAACTTCATTCATCCTGTTCCATTTCAGTGAAGAACTGAAGAGCTGTGGCCCTGACAGAGTAATCTTCCTGTTGCAGACAACACAGTTCAAAAGTTCCTATTAAAAAGGAAGAAAAAGTATGTTTGGCTACACAGAATCTGATGTAGCTGAAGACAATAAAACAATCTCAGGGACAATTTCAAAGAAACAGTGCACAAGCTTTTTCCACTACAGTAAATAATCAGCAACAGCTATTCTCTGTGTCACTCCCCAGACCCAAACACCACAAAAGAAAAAGACACAGTGCAGTCTTTTTCACGTGTATGCATGATGACATGGAAAGTAATCAAGTACTATCAGAGGCAGTAATGTGTAATAAGAGAAGTCTCTTCCGGCTGTAACTGAAACAGCAGCCACAGAACCAACAGAACTGAATGTATGAGCACTCCCTAACCCACTGGGGAAGAACCTCAAGTAGATCTACTCAAGCCACATCCACCAGTTGCTGATTTTTCACCAAAATGGCTGAAGGATTTTCTCTACACTTCTGTGCTCTGGAAATGGCAACCTGTATCAGTGAGACACATGCACCTAGAAACAACTAACACCTCAAATGATCCTCAGCATTTGAGTGCGCATTTATACCATTGTGACTCAGTTTATTTTAAGGTAAATGATGCACAAAATCACACAAAAGCCACCAAATACTTGGTGAAAAAGTAGAGCAGTATTCATAGAATCACAGAATAGTTAGGGTTGGAAAGGACTTTAAGATCCAACCCCCCTGCCATCAGATTACTCTCCAGTGCCAATACAGAAAATTAATACAGCTGAAGATATTTTCAGAACAGATCAGATTATAGATTTCCACAGAGATCTATAATCTCTGTAAATTAGACAAATAAGGTTATCCTTACCTGGAAGTAGTGGAAAACTTACTTCACCTGTTCCTTTTGTTCAAACCAAAAACTGGTCAATACTAATTAGGAAAAACAACTGTCATTTCTGCTAATGCTAAAAGGAAGTAACCCATTAAATAGCAATGATAATGGCTTGACATTGCCATAAGCAGATTGAAATGCAACTACCTGTATTCCCGTATCTCTAACTGGCTAAAGCTGATGACATACACTGCATTTCAAAGGCTATCCCAGGAGTACCTTGCTATATTCACAATATTCTGTCTCTAAGACTGTAAATTTCATGATTTTAAGAAAGTGGTGATGTAAGTAAATAATTTTCAACTGCAAAGAACCTGGAGCTCAGCTCCAGCAACATGAAATATCAAGGTATCACCTTTATTAAGTTTCCACAGAGTGGAAAGTCCTTCCCTCAAAGGATCTTTTTTGTTATTTACACACAGCTGTGCTGTGGAAGCCACTAGCTGACAGAGGAGGGCAATAAGAGGAAATCTAGAGTGGCCTTACCCACCTACACAGCACAAATCAAAACGCCAGCCATTGCAAAGACAGAAGTATAGGGGAACTGGATCTAACTGCCTAACACCCTCTTCTGCATCAAGGTAGGTGGTGAGGTAGAAAGAATGGGAGACCCCATTGGTACAAGTCCTTCCAGCAACCAAAGAGAGGCTGGCAGCCATAAGAAAGGGATGAAATTATTCATTTTGTCTCCAACATGAGAGGCCACATGGGGAGAAAATGTCACTGTCTTACATCTGCTTATGCCACAAGACTGTAAAGACCCATGTCTTAGTGTACAGGTCATGATGTGGAGCGTAAGAGGACAATACTCGCCCCAGCCAGCCATGGGGCTAAATCTAAAAGTTTTATACATGTTGATTAACATTCTAGTATATGCGTAAACTTAACAAAAACATTCATGGTTTAAGATGCTGATCTCAAGACTACAAGTAGCTCAACCACATGCTACAGGCTTACATACAATCAAGCCTGTGAATGTAGCATCAGCTGATTTAACTCTCCTGAAGTCCACTTTAGCACCAGGAAAACAAAAGGTTTTGGCTTTGTTTAGTCCACAATTAAACTGTGTTAAATTAGATCACATTATCCCACACTTGAAATACAGGAAGAACACATGCCATAGGGCAGCTGGAAAGTTAGAATATTTGTCCAACAAAGACCTAAGCTGCAGAACCATGACAGGCAAAGACAGGCCATTCAAGCAACAAGAGAAAGCACCCATACAGAAAAGGGTAGAAGAGACTGCAAAACAGAAACTTCTGTGATAGCGGAGATAAGGGAAGGAGCAGAAGAAGCAAGCAAAGGTAGGAACAGGGATGAAACACCTAGCAAGTGCTATTAAATATTAACATTAACATGACCACTCAAATGAGGAACAGGAAAGAATTAACAAAGAAGTTGGGTTTTCACTCATAAACTTGTTAACCACTATAATGCCACTTCGCTCTGCCTGCAGATAAGCACAGGCAAATGTCAGGATGAGCCTTGGCACTGTTGCAGATTATCCAACATGCGCTCGTCAAGGGAGGAAAGGCAGTAGATTGACATCGGACGAAATAGTGCTCTGTCTTTGAAAGTATTTATGTGTCTGAAGCACTCGGCACAACCTCTCAAGAGAGCAGGAAGTGTTCTTGGGAATACAGCAAAGCTCAATACCAGAACTATCACATCTTTCAACAAAAAAAACAGTGCTCAAAACTTACCCATTAATAGAGTGGAATATTTTATCATATTCTTCATCTGAAAGATTTAATCTGAAACACCAAGAAAATAGTTACAGAATACATATGAAAAATGTATACTTAACCACAAAAATGTCATCATTATTGAACAGAAACGTGGGACACAGAAAACATTTAGAAAGCATGCTTTCAACAGAATAAAATAGACCCAAATCAAACAAAACATTCAGCTTGAAAGAGTGCAACCCACAGAATTGACAATAGGGCCCTGTCACGTACAGTTCAAGATTAGATACTAAGAGACCCCTTTGAAGGCACTTGTTAAATTTGACATTTATATGAATGGTATGGTTATTATTTCCTGCAGACTGGCAACTCCGGTTTCCAATTGATTCCCAGTAGGGCAGAGCTGCAAACAGTAGGTCACACCCATTCTTCAGCAAAGATGTAGTTAAGAGGCGCGAAGATGAGAAAGTCCTCAGCATTAGCAAAATGTCAGCAAACCAGCAAGGTGGAAACACTCCTTGCAGAACTGATACACTGGGTATATTCAAAGAGTTCAGCTTTGCTAGATCTTTGTTGCCAGATTTAGAAGCCTCCATTCACAGATGAAGCTTCTGGTCTGCAAACACTATAAAAGCTCTACCAGCCGCGTGAGGAACGCTGCTTCTAATTCTGACACTTAACTGGTGCTCTTATTTGACTGTGTATATACATGCTACTGTAATTTTCTGCAGCTCATTAGTATTAAGTTCTGACAATTACAATTTTAACATTTTATTTCAGTAGGTTTACTATTTTATAGCTGTTGGCTATCAAGTATTGCCAGTTCTGTTACTTTGCTAATTTTAACCAACAACCAACATAAAACACCACATGGACGTAGCAACCCACAGTCTGAGCAGAACTGGACTTTGGTTTCTTCAAGGAGTACTGACAGCCTTTCTCCATTACTTGAATTCTAGGACTACACAATGTGACAGACAATATGTATGTATCTAGATACCTATGTGTGTTTGTGGGGTACTACACATTAAACTGAATATACCTAACTTCAAAAAACTAGGGATGCAAACTCTGGAGGGCAATTTTACAGGTAAAAACCTAGTCATTTCAAATAAATGTAATTTTTAATATTTCTTCTTACATATAACATGTTTCAATAATAGCATGTTTCAGCCTGCTTTTATTCTGTTTGCTTCTAAAGCTCCCTGCAGATTGTGGTATCTTCAAATAGTCTTCGAGGAGCTTTAAACACTCTCAAAAGCAGCACAACTGCTTTCTGGGCTCTAAGATAATACCGTTAAGTTAAACAATTATTACCCACTTGTAAGGATATAAAAATCTACCTTATTGGCACAACTCGGGCACCAGCAGATTCCAAAAACTTCACGTATGAAGCTGCAATATAGGAACTTCCAAATCTGTGGAATTTATCAAAGTGACACTCCTGTGCCAATATCCCTGAAGGATCCAAGACAGAAAATTAGGGCTATACAAACAGGAAATGCTACACACTTAAAACAGAATTAAACTTCAGTTTCCTACACGCATAACATTTACCACCTGAAGGAATTCCAAACACTGAGACACTGGGGTATCAATTACAATGCCTAGTCACAAGGCACCAAATAAACACATTACCTAAGACTCACCTTCTCTACTTTAATTATTCAGTACTACAGCTCCTTTTGGATAAGCTATAGTTAAGATTTTTTAAAAAGGTATATATAGTGTGACATTATTGATAAAAGCTTTAACCAAACCCATACTCACTCCACACAGAAACTGACAGGGTTTCATAGAATGGTTTGGGTAGAAAGCTCATCCAGTTCCAACCCCCTACCATGAGCACGGACACCTTCTACTAGACCAGGTTGCTCAAAGCCCTGTCCCACCTGGCCTTGAACACTGCCAGGGATGGGGCAGTCACAGCTTCTCAGGATAACCTGTGCCAGGGCCTCACCACCCTCACAGTAAACGCCGGTTTGGGTTCCCTCGCCAGGACAGCGAAGGCAACCCTCGGGCCGACCGGTAGCCCCCCACCCGCCCCTTACCAATGATGGGTCTCTCATTGCCCCCCGCCAGGCGGCCGTACAGCACGACGGAGGCTGCGGCGGCGCAGCGGAGCAAGAGCAGGAGCAGGGGGGCTGCCGGGCCGGCAGAAAGCCCTGCGAGGCGCCCCATAACCACGTCGCCCGCTGCCTGCCAGCACCAACCGCTCCACCACCACCTCAGTCCTGCGCCGCTCAGCACCCTGCCCGCCTGCGCCGCGGGGCACGCCGGGACATGTAGTTCCGGCGGCGGGGCGCTAAGGGCCGCCTCCGGAGACAGGCGGAGGGCTTGGCTTTGCTGAGGTCCCCCCTCAGTGCTGCGACGAAGTAGTTGCTGCATCATTAACCAGTGACAGACCAGTATGGTTCAACTAGAAGAGGTTTATTAATATAATGGTGCTAATACGTTAAAAATTATAAAAACATTGAGCCTTACATTGTGCTTATGGTCAGTAGTGAATTATTTGCATCATCTAACAGCAAATGTCTGTTTTTAGAGGCACCCCTTATATTCTTAAATAATAATGCACCTAGAGATTTTTATTTTTCTTTTGTTGACTCTGCAGCTCAAAGCTGCCAGACACCCCCCATCATACAGACACCTCTTCCAGTCATCACGCAAATGTTCTCATTTTATTGTGTCCTTACTATTAACAGCAACCGCAATTGAGAGTTCCTACAGCCCATGTAACATGTAAACATTAACAAATAATTAACTGTGCATGAAAAAGTAACTGCACTCCATGCTCTAACTGTTGTGTTATGCAAATGTGTTACCATTTAGTAACAGATTCAAGGTGTTATCTGAAGATATTTAGGACTTTATATTCACAGAACTGGTGCAGTCCAAAGGAAGATTTCAAAAACGCAGCTACATTTTGTATATGTGCATATACATGTGCATATACATATGCAATCAAATGAATCTCTGCTACATAAACCAGCAAAACGGTTAGAGACTGGTTGCATAGGGAAAGTTTAAATCTTCCTGTTCACTGAAACACGGTTTGTTCCTTTATGTGGTTTCGATTCAAAGATTAAAATTGCAGGAACATAAAATTAAGACAATAGCTTCAGTTCCCTAGTTTGTAAATGCCTTCAGACTTGACTTACACACCTGAAGAACTGCCAGATGCCTGACTACTTAGCTTATTTTCTTATAAAGAAGAATTAGCACTTCACTGAACTCCTCTATTTAAGGAGCTTTTTTATCACAAAATAGTTCCATCTGAGAAAAAGATATATGAAGTATATGGTAATATAAAAACATATCTGAAAAATGTTTCTTTAAATTTAGGCTCCATACCAAATATTTCCTGAAAGAGAATGAAAAATGCATTTGAGTAAATGAGGGATCTGGAAGAAAAAAATTATTAAAAAGTCTTCCTCAGTTTTGGAATAGTTTTGCGTCTGGCATTGACCCTACCACAGCAAAAGAAAACAGAACCAACAAGTATTCTGTGGGCCTTTCACAGATGTTCCTCTTGCTAAGAAAGAACAGCTTCCAATAGCTTTGAAGTATTAATGATAATCTAATAGACAATATTTCTGATTTAATACAATTTCCCCTAATTTCTTTCCCCAAGCATATATTAATACAGCATCCCAATGTACCATGAAGATTCCAAAATAACTGAAGTTAGCATTTCGAGCTATCTACAAACCAGAGATTTGTTCTAGATTCATTTACATGAAGATTTGTATGGAATGTTTAAATACACAGTGCTCCTGCAAAGAACCCCTAGCTTATTTCAAAACAGAGTTAAAAACTGTAAACAAACTCTAGGAACACTGACAGAGATTTTAACAAAATGCTGAATGAAAAGAAAAATAATTTTTTAGATTATTAAATACTGGGGGTTGCAGGATGATACTGCTATATAATGTGAGCGATAGCTTTTACACAGATATGGTTCATATCTGAATAACAGCCCTTAAAAAATGTTTTCAGTAAGTATAGACAGATTTTTTTCTTTACCCCTACAGAAATAAATTAAAATTAAAAATAATTTCTTCCAGTGCCTAACAGAAGACATTAAATGTTGAGTTGCCAATTACTTTTCTGAAAACAAAATTAAGGTACCCAGCATCTCTGGCGCTGAAGTCCAAAGTGACCTAACAGTACCCTTAAACCATAAAACAGATACTTCTGAAGTTCATATCCACAAAGGATAACCTACTTTACCCTGCAGAACAAACAGCTACTGCAAACAGCTAAAAACCCTTGACCTCTGCTGTGCTTTACAGTAGGAATTAAAGGTGATCATAATCTGAGTTCTTTATAGTTTTTCCACAGACATTATCTCTTTGAAGAAAGAAAATCAGAATTTTCAAGGTTGTTTTGACTCTCTTACCAGTTCCTCCTCCTGATTCATACTGTTCTTTGAAGAATAGGTACACGGTGTTTTCCCTTTCTTCCTCTATAAAACTGGAAGATTAATTAAGGGAAGCTGCACAAGCAGCAAAGATTAAAGCAAATGTCTCACTATTGCTGAGTAATTGTTAATTTGACAATAACAAAATAGTCCTTTTCCCTGAGAATCAATCAAAAAAGCAGCCTCGTTTCAGTTATTGTAAATTAGCCCCACAGTCATACTTTCCCAACAAGCTTATCTACCCCATTCACATTCTGTTCTTTCTTGTAACCTGTTGTCTTGACAAGCCAAGACAGAAGAGCTAAGCATAAGGTTCTTGATTGAATTATTACAGATCAGTTGTCTCCAAAGACTTAATAGGAGCAGTTATCAATTTCTGATATCCAACACACTATTGAGCTTTTTGGCACACAAGTTAATAATCACAAACAGTACTGTAAATATGTAGAATCCATTAATTCCTTCAGATGTACATACTGATAGACTCCAGTTAGTATAAAAAGTGCAGTCAGTATAGTACTCAGTGCCCTGCAAAGACATTCTGGTTTCATTTACATTAATTTCAAGTTTACATGAAAGATTTTGTACTAAACTTATTTCCAGTGTTCAGTAATTGAAATAATACTGTAGTAAGGTTATTCGTGGGCAAACAGAGAAATGCTCTGAAGATAATCTGCAGATGCCACTATAAAGTCAGTCCATTCCTTGGCCAGCTCTTCAAAGGAGACTTCCTCCCCACCATACTCCTGTGGGAGAATGCTGACGGGGAAGTGTTCGGTCAGACTCTGCATGTAGTTATTTCCATGCATATACACCTACCAAAAAATACAAAAAGCATTTACTTGGGTATGAATGCTAGATTACAGAGTGAAAACAGGCAGCAAAGAAACTCAGTGCAAGAGCTGAAGCTCAGTTTGACAAGTCGACTTCTTCATAATGAGCTCCTTAAATGAAGGAGAAACTACCATGTAAGCGAGTTTCCCATGGGTGCTCAAACTGTGTGCTCAGTATCTGCAGCTTGGTGAAGCATAGACTGCAACCCAAGAACTGCATTTTATGCAGCTGCAAGCACAGGAGCTGAAACAAACTACACACTTGTTCCCGACTGGTTCAGCAACATTGAACAGCTAAAGTGAGCTAAACCATGGGAAGACCGGTACTTGGTCTTATCATTATAGCTATCATGCATTTGGTTTTCTGTCATTTCCAAGAAAAAACAGCTTGGCTCCTGGCCATTACTATCTGTTTCTGCCACATGTATTTAAAAACAGCATTATGCAGTATGTATGTAGGTTCACGCAGCCAAGGAGGAGATTCAAAAGAATGGATACCTTGGTTCTTACATTTCAGGTCCAACTGCAATTAGATACTGGACTACGCCTCTTTTTTAACCCTTCTAACACCATAGTTTTGGTTCTTCTTGCTTTATTGCAGCTACTTTGAAGCCTTATTTCTTACTTTCAATCAGACACTTTTATAGGCCTTTTATTAATACATGACAAGAATTCTCTGCAATTATTATTACAAAAAAACTGCAAAATACTCAAAAGGTAGCTGTCTGTCTTTTATCTAACACTTGCCCATCAGGAATTAAGATAGAGTGAATAGTAATTACTCCTATTAAGGTATGGGGAACTGGCCCTTAGAGGTTTGTTTTGAGATCCTACCTGTAACTCAGCCTGGAGACAAGCCAATCTGCTTCTGTTCCATTCGATGAACTAGGATATCTGGTTTGTTTTCTTTTACACCTTTACTGTCCATCTGCCCTCCCTTCTGCTTTTTGAGTTCTATCCTGAGATATTCTGAGCTGGATCAAATGACATGGGCTTTTTTCACAGGTAGTAATGTAAGAGATGAAGGGCCATGGCTTTAGGCTACTGCAACATACTTCATTTTCTTATCCTCTTTTGCGAGTGAGGGACTGCACAAGGCTCCCATAACAAAACACTCGTGCTAGGAAAAGGGGGCTGGCAAACAAATGCTAACAGTGACAAGAAAAAACATGGCTCTACTGTCCCCGAGTGTCATAGCTACTGCAAATGCACAAAATCCTTGTGCTGAGATAAGGAGGCTTCAGAGTGGGAACAGCAATAGGTTTTGGCTGCTTACTTTGTACCTTAGTCTGCTGTTAACATTGCACAGTACTTTTGTGTCAGCTGAAGTCTCCAATATTCTTCCTATGCTACAATAAACCAGAGTTCTTGACATGCTTTTGCATCCACATACAAACAGGTTTTCAGATTTAAAATTGAAAAAACACTTAAAACAACTAAGGAGCTATTTGGAAAAAACCCTGAACTTAATTAAGCCTGACTGATTTTTGATGCATAAATGCCTCTGCAGGTCTTTCAGAACTCAAAAATTGTCTTCTACAAATCCTGCACTACTTGGAGCATAACATCACTTTTTAATGACAATTTCTCACTGTCATTTATAGGCACAGTGCTGGGAAATCCAGGACCTATTTCTTCCTAGTTCTGCAGAAGAACTGCTGTGTGGCCTTAAGCAAATTATTTAACCTCTCTGTGCCACAGCAGTTTTTCTCTTCAGAGTGGTGATAACAGCAACTGCTTGCAACTCTCACATCACTGATAACTGCAAATGCTTTAACAATTAAATTCTGGAGTCCTGCATGGCACTACCACACAAAAATAATTTATGCTTTTCAGTGCTCAGGAGTACCAGATCCTAAGGGAAGTGCTACAGATCGTCACGTAAGGGTTTTGTGGCAGAAAGAAGTATTTGTGTGCACTCACCCGTTCCTTTATTTTTTCAGTGAGAAAAGGCTTAATTAGAGCGAAGACTGGGTGGAAGAATAAAGGCTCATTTATCA